ACTTGTTGTAAATTTATAGCTATGATGTGACTATTTGCAGGTTCCAGCCAGCTAGTTACTCTGCGTTTTCTTCATTTTTTTAACTGACTTGTGGCGCCTCTGATCGTCGAGGAATGAACTGAGGTGGCTGGGCTCTTTTGATGTCATCATTCACTATTGATCCTCCGCATGAAATCAACGTCTCAGGACACTTTTATGATAACTTTTATCAAGATAAATAGTGCAATAACGGCTAAAAGTATTCTACGCCAAAAATTATAATTTTTTTGCACAACGATGCAGATTGTAATTCACTTCAGCGACGATAGTTTAAAGAAAACCCGTAAAACCTTTTGACTAAAGATATCTTTTAGTTGATTTTAAAACTATTGGCGCAAAACTAGTTGTTATGTGTATACTTTAAATAAACGGTGTTCTACATTTTAATACCAGCTAATTTAACACCGTAAGTTTTATTGCCTAGTCATTTCACTACTAAACAATTTAAATCCACGACAATTTAAGCCATAATTTTCAACTTTACACCGAAATTAATGCTGTGTGAACTCTTAATCTTAAATCCTATCACACCAAAAGTAATCTTGCAATTAAAAGACGCATCACATTGAAAAACTTGGTTTATCTCAACTAAACATGCTGAAATGAGGCTTCCCAATTTACTTAAGGCTCTTATCGATAACTATTTAATTTAATTTCAATTAGTTGTTTCCTTAAACCATTATGAATACTAAAAAAATGCTTGTGCTAGCTCATAACAATTTGACGTTAAAACTTCTGACAATTATAAAATTCTAACAGTCCTTGTATGCTGTACTCAAGTGATAAGCAAACGCAAACACAAAAAAAACCCATGATTCGGTCTTATTTCGAAATCGAAAGTTCATCTAAAAACAAGTCGAACTTTACAGCGTCCGGCCACAATTTTTATTTCCCGCGAAAAAGTTAATTTTAACGAAAACTGGATTTGCTCAAAATACCAAACATGTAGATGTCGATATAGATGTCGAGCAATTGCCATTACAAAAATATCGAAAATCAGCAGGAAAATTAGTTGACCCAAAGGTCGTTAAGGATTTAAAAAATCTCAGCGAGAGACTTACACAACTGGTTGCAGTGTAGTTTTGCCATAAACAAATGATTTTGTTTCTCAGTTTGTCCCCTCAATAACAGAATTTTTCTCCGGTATGACAGTTTTCTCCGGTATGAAATTACAAGCGAATGAACTTGTGCAATGACCCCAAAATCGTGAGGGATCTGGAAAAATCATCTTTCTGGTTAGCCGATTAAGCTTTTAAAATTACTCTCAAAATCTTCCATCAACTTTAATCAATTAATGTGACTGTATCAGGTTTTGCATCAACTTGAATATACACCTTCCTTCCTAAGAAAAACGAAAGCCCACAATCGCTTTTTGCAGGATTTAATTATTTTAGCACCCATCTACCGGCCTGAGAAATTTCAGTTCGATTTTGAGTAAGTAACATGTACAGAGTTACATCAAAAAATCAATGAGTTGGGTCTGAAAAAGTCCTATGAAAGGAATCACAATTTAGCGCTGGACTTAAGAATGCTGCCTTACCTTGCTTTTGAAAAACGGGAAAAATCGTTTAGTCCTATGATATGATCGTTCAAGAAAATCAGAATGTATGCGACAGAAACAGTTCAGTACCAGGAAAAAAAGAGAAAATTGACAAGTTGTGTTTTTACTTTGGCTCTATATAGAAAGCATGGTGCCAAGACGTGAAATTTTCTACCCACCATCAATTTTAAACTCGCGAGATGCGGCCTGGTATGGGATTTCTAGAACAACAAATGCTTTTAGTTCGAGTTAAATCAGAGTAACTTTTAACTTATTTTTGTCTATTCGTTTGTATCGTTAAAATTCAAGTTTTAATCCAAGTTAAAAAAAATTTTTTTTTGGAGGAAAACCTAACTAAAGGGAAGAAATTGACTCGTGCACTGACTATTCAATCACTGGACAATTGCCTTTATTTTCGGAATGCTAGACTGTGATTAGGGGCTGGCAAACGCGTTTATATGCAAAAAATTCAAAAAAAGTTAAATTTGAAATAGATTCTAAAATTGAAAAATTTTTAGCCTTTTGGCCTTGGTTCATTTTTCTTTGAATTTCTGTACGGTAAAAATTCAAAAAAAAGTTAATTTTGAAAGAGATTGTAAAATTGAATAATTCATAGCCTTTTGGCCTTGGTTAAATCTTTTTTTGAATTTCTGTACCATTTAATGTATGGTGTAATTTTGTTTCGAGTTAAAAAAAGTGGGAACCAAATATTCAGTGAGATTTTTTGCCCTCTTTTTCAAAAACGTACTTTGATTATACTTTATGGGAATTTCGAAATTGCTATGAGATCTTATGGATTGAGCTTTTTTTGAAATTGGGATTTGAGATAGTAGTTTTCGTCTTAAGATATTAAGAATCGGGAAAATTTTGTCTGAAAACTGTGTGTGGCTTAATTGCGCCCATGACCCTTTGTGAAAGTTTTAATTTTCTTTTGAAAAACTTTCAGCCCCGAGAAAACGCGAGTCGACCCTTTTGGATGGTAACATGGCCATCGAAGGGACTTGATTTTTTGTTCGCAATGTTTTTTTATTCGTTGATTCTGAGCAAAAACAAAATCAAAATGAGTTTCAAATTAGATTAAACATAGCTTAGTATGCTCAATGGTTCTGAAAGCAGAAAAAGAGCGACATCGACCATCTGAGTCACTTATTAATATCTTCTTTGGGATGCAAATTACATATGCGAGGGTTTAAACATGATTGCGTATTTGAAACCGTATGAGCTTTCTCTAAGACACCTACAGTTATCTTACATCATAGTTTCTTCTCTTTGATTCATGAGTGTCCGCAATTATGATTCGGCAATCAAAACTAAAATCAAAATTTCGGCAATCAAGATATACGTTTTTAATCACTTTCGATAAACAAGTTCTCTCTGCGATCTCTTTCTGTTGGGATGAGGAAAAAAAGAAAAAAGCAAAAAACTAAAAAAGGGACCATATTTGATATTATTTATTCGATACTTTTTTCCTAGTACTGACAGAAACTTTGATGCTTTTTTAAAGTTTGTGTTCCTATTACTTTGTTCCTTGTAGGTTTTTGATGCTTTTTACACCCAGTACTGACAAAAATTTGAAAACAATTTTTAAAACAGTTGAGGTAACTTTGAGAATGTTGTTATATTAAAGCCCTAGTGAAAAATATTTTGAAGAAATTAATTCTGTGTCGAAAACCATCGCATTTTTTGTATTTACCGCTGCAGATAACATCATTAAACCAATCCCATAACTATTTCATATTAATTATACGCTAGTTAGCGAGCCTAAACTTGTGATCTTCCCCTCATCTAATGTTGACGATGTTCATTTTTTTCGAAATTGTGTCCGTTTTTTTTCTGCGACCAGAAGAACAAGAGCAAAGCTTAGAACGCAAGCAAAATAGGCGCAATTGACAACAGCTTTAATTAAAACTAGTAAAAAAATTGTTTAAAATGTTTAAAAAAATTCATAAGAAAAAACATATTCATCAATTTCTTTTAAAAATGTTCTAGTTTTTTTTTGAAAACTTTTGAATAGTTTTTATTGCTAATGACGCTGAAGAAAGCCTATATAACTAGTTTTTCTGAAGTGAAATTAAATTTTTCACGAGAAAACTCGTTATTCGAATCACGTCCGAAAATATTTGATTATGACTTATCAACCAATTCTGATATAAACCTGTGATACCAAACTTTTTGTGGAGAAAAAACAAACACTACAAAAATGAACACCTCAAAAACATAACGTTTCCAAGTTTTCAGTGGTCTAAAAAATGATTACCAAGCAAACAATCAACAATGAAAGCTTTGTAAAACTGGTGCCACCGCAGCAGAGAACTACTCCTTAAAAAATTTCTTTTTTCAACAAACTCAAAACAGCTTTTAAATTTCAAAAAAGTATTGATATTAGAATCTGTTGGTATTTGTGGGTTTTAATTTTCACCTAGTACTGACAAAATTTGGAAACAATTTTCAAACAGTTGAGGTAATTTTGAGAATAATGTTAAATTAGAGTCCTCAACGTTTCTTAAACTCACATTTCTTAAACTCACAACGTTTCCTAAGCTCAATTTAACTCATTTCAACCTCAAAAAGCCAGAGACAATGGGTGTCTTTCAGTAGAAACACAATTTAATTGTCTTCTACATGACAGAAATTCCTAGTAGGGTTCTTGCGAACCGTTTCCCCCTGCGCTAACAGTCACCCACGATATTCGTCAATCTCGAGAACTATTATACGGCTTTCTAACTGACATTAGCTCATGAACTTAACTATTATCTATTTTTATTTGATATATAATTTTTTTTGAAAGAATCGTTCTCTGCATAAGTCCACTAGTAGGATAAACCCTTGTTGTCCAGTAACCCACTAAATACTTGCTGAAACTTCAGTTTAAAGTTATCTTCACTGGAAATAACTAAATCCTGTATTCAACTAAAGTGCACAAAAACTTATTAAATATGTTTAATCCTTTTTTCGAGGGGGTTAAGTGGTCATGTGTGCAATCATGTGCAATCTAAGAGTACCCTAAATTGTATGATAAATTGAATTCTTCATCACAAGTCTATCCAACCATTCACGCTTGTTGCTATGTATTCTAATCTTTCATCATTTATCCTCAACTTTTTCCTCAACTTTTCTTAAACTCATTTTAATTTTACCCACCTTGACGTAACTTAAATCTAAATCATCCATCAGTAAAGCTACCAATTTTTGAAACTAAGGGAGGAAATAACGAAAGCGAAGACAGAAGGAACGGATTTGGGTGTTTTTTACTAAATAATTGGTTTTTTATGACACGGTTTGAATATAAAACTAATAAACATTAAAATACGCACTAAAACCAACGTTAACCACATACCGCCAAACACCAAGTTTTAGTTTCAGCACGAAAAAATTAGGTTTCACAACAAAACCTAAAGCTAAAACACTAACACATCCACTTTAAATATTATGCAATAGGTTTCATATGATAGCCTAAACACTAGAAAATAAATTTTACCAGCGAAAAATTTAAGTTTCAGTCTCGGTTTTAGTTATATGATCAAAGGTTTCAGTTAAAACAAGTATAGTTTTCGGTCAAAATTTTAAGTTTCCGCAAACAAACTCGGGTAAAACAGCAAAAGTTGATTTAGTTTAGTGAAACCCAAAATTGGATACCATAAGTCAAAAACCTGTTAGTTTTAAGTATCAGAACATAAAAGTTGAGTTTTTGGTCTCAAAATTGAACTCCAAACGCCGAAATTCGACTTTTAGAGAAAACTAACGGTGTTAAAACCCACCAAACCAGTTTCGAAATTTGGTTTCTAAGGCTGAAACGTATGTTTCCGAATTGGTATTTTTGTTTTCAGACCCAAAAAACTTGCATCCAATTTTGTGAATTATAGGTAGATAATAGACTCCTTAATGCAAAACGCTTTTTAAACTCAAAAAACTCCTAGAAGGTGTTAGTTTGAACCCTCAAACTTATAGTTTCAGGCAACTAAAATCGTCCTTTTAGGCTAAAATTCCTATTTTTGGCAATTTTATTGCTGGAATAGAAATAAGTTAAAGAGATCATCCTAAATTTTCAATTTCAAAACTCTAAAACCAAGTGACCAAACCATAGTTTCAGTTCTAGAAAGCATAGTTTCAGACCCAAAAGTTTAAATTTCCGCAAACCAATTTGTGATTTTAAAGCTAAAAACCTGTTCATAAATCTAAATTACACCAGACCAGCTCTCAAAAACCAACTTTTTATTTTTCAGCATAGAGTTTGAGAGAGTGTAAGGGTCTTAGGTTGGAGATTTCTAAAATTATGTTTAAGATATCAAAAGATAAGGTTTTCTCAAAATTGTTTGACTGATAAAGCATAAAAAAAGTATACTAAAGCTTTCAGACAACTGTAAGATAAAAAAATTCAATTTCATCTACCACAGTTTCAGATTTCAGATTATAGTTTCAGTCCAAAAAAAATTAAAAATTTAACAAAAAAAACTAAGGTTTTGAGCCAGCGATAACCTCAGAAGGCCTACGATCATATTGTTAATCATAAAAACAGCATCAATAAAACTTCACACAAACGAAGTTTCCGCTTTTAGCTAAGGTTTCAGCAATCAAAAACTTCAAAAACTCAAAAAGTTTTAGAAAAAATTTTTTTCCAAAAAAAGTTTTTTTTTTGTTTACCTACTTATTCCATTATTAATAAACCTTGTTATTAATCAACAAATCGGTGTAAGCTTTCATTACCCGAAACACAATAATCAAATAAACTAATTTAGCTTAAGAAAAACAATAATAATTACCCACAAAATTTAATGTCATCCCATTTTAAAATGGATGTCAGCACAAAATTTTGAAACTCAAATTAGAAAACAAAGTCTGTAACATCATATGGTATATCACTCACACCAAAAAAGACCATAATAAAGCTAACAAAACACCCTAACGACGATAAACACGAAATATAAGTCCTTTTTTCACGATATAATTCAGAAATAGACACAATTCTTTAGCAAATAAAAATACCAAATAATATAATTTATACACCGCAAGAACGATTAATTGCTTCACTTCCAATCACTTTTTAATCTCATCACATACCCAACACAGATTTTCTAGAGTCTTAACAACTTGTTATTAGAAACAAACTTTTTCCCCAACACAATCTAAATTACCCAAAAAAATGAGCAACCCATTCATTAGTGAAATTTAGTGATTTTATAAAATGTTTATCATTACCTAAGTAAAAACTTGTGCATTAAAAATGATGTAGAATGCTGTGACCAACTTTTATCAAGTAAAAACATTAACATTTAATTTAAAACTACAAACAAAAAACAATCCACAAAAAATTATTTGGTATATCACCAACGTCCAAAAGGATCAAATCACATTTTTGTCCAAACATCCACGCAAAATTAATCAAGAATTAATTATTCTTTGCCGCAGCAACACCCCAGAAACAACGTCTATTCTAAAAAAAGCTTAACCAACCCCCTAGCACTATTGGTATATCCAATAAAAGTTTATAATCCTTGAACCGAATAAACCTCACAAATCTTAAATAAAAATTATTCGATCCTTATAATTGATCAGTACACAACACTTTCAAACCTTTATAAATTATTAGCAAATATTTAAGTGAAAATAAATAAAAACGGTGATTCTAGTAGCATATCCAGATTTAGCTCTCAAAAAAAATTACAAGTTTAGATTTAAATGAAGATGCAAGAGATTTTTTTGATATAGTGGAAAAAAAGATCGTTTTCCCTAGGCACTAGACCAGCAGACGCAGGTGACGATAAGGACGCATATGATAGAAGACAAAAAACCTTAATTGGTTCAATATTAAGAAGTCCAGCCGCTCAGTGGTATCAGGGATTAGCAGCAGGTTTACCTTGGAATGATATAAGAGATCAGTTCATAGATAGATTCACTGATGATATAATCAGAAAACATGAAAAGGCAAACTGAGGAAATTATCAAACAGTACATACACAGATTAAGCACCGCAGTAGATTTTGGATGGCTTAATCCAACTTTTAATGATGATCAAAGAACAGCAAAGAAAATGAAATTTTTGGCGCGAGGCTTAAGCCCGCCGGCTTGAAACAAAAAGCACATCAATTTTTGATTGAGAATCCACGCGCAACTTGGCAACAATTAAAAGATCACATAGCTACAAAAATTTTAGGTTTTGCAGTAAGTTGAGAGTTTGTTGGAACAACATTCAGTAGCGCAGATAATAAAATGGAAATAGAGGGAATTAAAGATCAACTTAAAGAGTTAACTGGACTAATGAAGGATCATAAAAAAAACGCAGCTTATAATCCACATGAGCATAGAAACAAACGAAACAACCCAAAATTTTGCATTTGGTGTTGCATGCAGGTCATACGATAAGCCATTGTGTTAAATATAACGATTGTCAGGAGCAAAATTTTGACTCGCTTCAAATAAGAGAGAATGCAAACAGAATTTTTCATAAAAATAGCCGTAGGTCGAAAGTAGACAACAATTTCAGTGATATGAATCCGCAACAAGTGTTCAGGCATATATCGAACTGCAATGAGAGTTCACAATCGCTTGACAAAAGCGAATAGAAAAAACCTTCAATGAAAATAACGATTATCATTCACTTCACCCTCTTTAGTGATGATGAAATTCCACGAGACTATACCGATATTGAATGTGAACTTGGGAATTCAAACTAGATCAGTCTCCATCTGAACCAAAAATACAATCGTATATTAACTTATACTAGTATCCCGTCGGAGGCAAAAATAATAAATAACGGTCTTAAAACCCAACTTCTACTAGATACTGGAGACAACATGTTCGCTTATTAGTTTTGACATTTATGAACAATATTGTAAAACACAGCCTCTACAGCTGAATATATCTAGATTAAACACAGTTGCCGTTAAAGGAGAAAAACTCTAAAAGGAGAAAAATTATAGATCATACTATTTTTGACTCAACTTTTGGTACAAACACTGATAATCCAGTAAAAATCAAAGCATGGATTTCAGCCAAAAACGCATGCAATCTAAATATAATAGGAATGGATTTCATTTCTTAAAATATTAAATCAATAAACTTTTCAATTTCTAACTTGGAATTAAAAAAACACCCGGATAAAACAGTTTCTATCAGTATTACAAGAAGCTAAAGTTTTCCATATCTATGCTTTTATCAAAATGTAATTCCTGATAAAAATATAACTATTGCACCAAAACCATCCAGCATTATTTCAGTTTCTCTAGCAGGCATAGTTTTTAAAGTAGCACTATTGCTTATAATTGATAAGTCCTTGGAACAAAAAGGCAGTAATGCGTATAGTATATATTGTACGAATGAAGAAACGTCAATTCCTATCGTACTAAAAACTTCTAGAGAAACAAAAGTAATTATTAAAAAATGCATTTTTTTAAATTGGATGTCACTAATCAAGAATTTTTGCGTGCTTTTACTGATATTTCCCATTCAAGCAATTGTGAAAAGTATAAAGCTAAAAAAGAAACCTTTTAGTCAGGAAAACATTCGTTTGTAGAAATAATTATACAACTCAAAATATACTACAAGGAATAGCGGTTCTGTATGACACCCAAAAGGATATACCAAAAAGCTTAGACACGGATTTAATTGTTAACTGATATTGAGAACAGTCAAATACGCTAACAGTTTTGGACCATCCTCAAAATCAAATAAAGATAGAAGGATCGAAACCCAATGGCTGAGACAAAAAAGTTTTTCGATTTCAACGAACTTGCAAAAAAAAATTGTAAAAAGACAGGAGTTTATAATATTACAGTTTTACGAGTCTACAATAATATTATTTTCAGGCGTATTTATCAACCAAAAATTCAGTAATACACTTAAAGAAATGTAACATTTCCCTACGTACAATAACGAGAATTAATAGAGTGAAACCTTTGATGAAAGAACTAGCCAAAGCAAAATTGTTTCAAATTTATTTTTGCGAAAATAATTAGAACTATCAAATTCCTCTTAAAGCCCAAGTAGGGACCGATGAAATTAATTAACAGCTTTCTAGTTTTCAAGTTACAAATGCAAACTAGAAGAGATTCATCAAAAAGTGAAAAATTATCTCTTTCTTTTTCAAAGTTTTTAAAGTTTTTCAAAGTTTTGTTATGCTTTTACCAATATTCATGATCTTAAAAAAAGGGAACAAAATTTTTCGAGCCGCAGATTTATGCCGCATATGTTGGTGGCTTTATGTAGCTTTTCAAATCCCATGGTACCATATTCTTTTAACCAACGCAAATGATTGTTGGTGGCTGTATGCAGCCTTTGAGACTTTTATGATTTGCTCCTCAAAATTTTGGCCAAATTACTTATTCAGTAATTTAGAAGCCACAACACGCAGACATTTATACCCTTAAATACAACAACTTTTTTTGAAACAACACTTTGAAAATTGGACCGCATCAAGATTATGATTGTTTAGGTTAAATTTTGTACATCAAACAGTTCAGGACGAACTTTTCTTTACAAAAGATGTGAGCATGGATTGATACAGGGGCTTACAACCGAAGAGGAACTATTACACTTATCTTAATGATTATTATACCGTTTTGTAATTTGTGTTTAATTTTCCTTTCCTTCGATATTTAATTTTAATTTGATTCTAATGCAAATCTTTTCTATTTCTTATCGAAAAATGAAACAAAAATTGCTGGTTATGACAAAAGTGTTGTCAAATTAAATGTAAAATTTGTTTATTCTTTTAAAAAATTTTTACATTTTTCTATTTGTTCAAATTTACATCCAGTAAATCCCAACTTAAAGTGTATGGCTGAATGATATGTTAATTATATTACAATCAGGATGAAACTGAGAGGTTCATTTTATTTCTTCACTTTTCATCGTGGTGAGTTGGTGTTCAACACAAAGAAGACTAAGGTTTGGTTTGAATAGAACAAAAAAAGTAACCTTACTTAACTTGTCTATGACCCAGAAATTTCACATAATCATATTCTATAGTAAACAGGAAAGAACTGTGACAGGATGCTTGACAACTGAAATCGAAACAATTCTGAACTGTGAACTCGCAGTTGAAATAAACAAAATATTAATCAGAGCAAGAAGAAGCTAGCATGGTGTCACTGCAGTTTTGACAAGCAAAACTCAATCTATCAACTCTCAACACAATTGCAATCTCGTTTCGATAATGATGAGTACTTCCGAAATCAAGACAGCGAGTAGCAATTGGATGAAATCGTCTATGACATCAATAAGAAGAAGGATGAAGGAAAATCTCCAAAATTAAAGGAAGGGAAACGAATGATTCAACCTATTTCACTTAATTCTTAACGATTTGATTTCATCTGGAAGTATAATGTCTTTTTCAAATATTTAACCTAACCCTGTTTCACGATATATAAACATATTTTGATACCAACGTAAAAGTAAGTATCGAACAACTGTCTATCTAAAAAAGGGGGTGAATTGTAGTATTGCAAATACTACACGGAGATTAAAAAAATTCTGTTCTAATTGTTTATATAAGATTAGACTTGACTCCTTTCCACTTTTATTTTGTCAACCCTTAAAATACTAGTCCGATTTTTTTCTTTCTTTTAAGACTGAATTCCTTTTAAAATAATCAATATTTTCAACAGACTATTTTGTCGGATGTCAAAAAAAAGTGTGTCGCCATAAAGGCTGACCGGTTAAAATGTTCTGCTATGAAAAGCAGACATTAGAGCAATAAGCACCTGGTCTTTGGAGCCTAACAAAAACACAAAAAAAATAAAACAACTGCAAATCAGGGACAGAATGAATAACGGCTTTTTAATATAAAAAACTTCAAAGATGAGGCTATTGAAAATTTTCCAAACACCTGCAAGATTAAACATATTTGATGAAACAAAGTCTATGAAGATTAGAATTAGACAAAGGTACTTTGAAGCATTCTTGCATTAAATTTGGACCTGTCTAAAATCTTCATAATTTTTTGTTCCACTCTCATTCAACTCGCTCAGTCGAGTCAACATTTTCTGGAATAGTTTTATTTCTTTCTTTTGGATCTTTTTAATTTATAAACTCATTAAAATACGATCTTAGAATTTTCATAATTTCCGAAAAATAAAAGCAGTAGCACGGATCTAAACGAACTGATGACCCAATACTTTGAGAAGCTTTAGGTGAACAAATCAATCAGCAATCTAGACGCGGACTACAAGCAAACGAAGTGTTAGTTTAAATGTAAAAACTAGGTTTTGACCCATCCCCATTGGTACTAAAGACAGTTGTTCAGCAATTGCTTAAATCATTTGTACTCAACTATCCACTATTTAAGTTCATACTCTTTTCTAACTAAATTTTTAAACTATAACTATTGTCTAGAAATTTGACGAAATAAGGTGAGACTTATAACTTAGCATAGATTTTTAAGCAACCAAACAACAATGATAGCTTAGTAAAGTACAAAATGACTCAAGTTTTTTTGCGTTTAAATTTTTCAAAATTTTTGTTTATGTTGGTGCAAAGAACATCTTTAAACCAGTCATATAATCATTCAGATGCCTTGTGCTTCGTGATTATCCCCCTTCGACATACAAAAACAAAACCTATATTAAACAAAACCAGACAAAAAATTGCATATAGATTGAAATTCTTTTCTTTTTTAAAAATGAATGCTTACAACAATTACTGTTAGAAGAACAATCTGCGCTAGTTACACAATACCCTGCTAGTCTTTTTGTTCCAACAACTTAAAAATACGTTGAGAAGTTTTTTCTGCAGACCAATTTCACAAAGAAAATTGACAGCGAGCGGGGATCGATCCGGTAGTACGATCTGGCAATAGCCAAAAATTAGTTGAACACTGCTCGATTAATACTAGATAATTGAATACACAATTTTTTTTACGTGGCTGTTTATCGCATGCTCATATGCGCTCTAAATTGAATGAAGTCAAACCAGTTGGTCAATTTTTACGCACTTTAATCTTGATGTAATGGTAGTCCAAAATTTATCCTCTATCTCGAGACCCATTAAGGGGCAGTCGGAACAATCAGGGTCTTGTTTTTATCTTCCTGTTCTAACTCATGCAAAAAACTTGCTGCATCTTTGAAGCCTGCTTTTTAAAGACAAGTTTCGGTCACAAAAAATATATATTGTACACATGGGCATAGGCTATGTATTTATATGAGTAAGAATTTGAAGCAAAACAGTTTTTGTGGTTAATATCATTGTATGAAAAACAAATGTCATTCTGAATGAATTATGAAAACTATTGCTGTAAGTATCTCTCAAGAAAGCTATAACACAAAAACACACAGCTTACATTCTAATTTACTTCAATAATTTGCATGTGCTTTCTTAATTAACTGAAAACCTTGCTTGTGTACGTTTGTCTATAATTCAGCACAACTCTTAAAAATTGTAGATTCCTGAGCTAAACGACGAAAATTGTTAAGTTTATGCAAAAAAAGTTGAGAAGCTTTGAAAAAATTAGTCACGACCGCGGCGACCAGAAACAACCTGCAGGATGTCGCAGCAATTTCAAGCGGCGGGAACAGATATGACGTTGGCATCAGCCAGGACGGAACTCAAAGTAAGTTTCCTTGATGTGCAATTTTCAATCACATGTTTAGAAGGCCAAGTTTTTCTCTTCATGTAACCTGGGTTTTTTGCTGCCCTAGCATAATGAAAACATGTTTTCAAAGGTTATTAGCACACCAAATCTTAATTTTTGTTCGATCAGAAGTTAAAGAATTCTGCAAACTTTCTGCGTTTTGGTAGAAAGCACATAAAAGGTAAATGCATTTTTGGTCACGATCTCTTCTTGTTAATTGTTGAACTTCGATTCTATTTTAAAGTTATGAAATGATTCTTAATGCTGTTTAATGACGAAAAAATGCCAATTTCCGTTTGCTAAAAAAGCATGATTTTTCTCGAACTGAAAAACTTTGTGTTTTTCCATTAAGGCAACACTGGACGATTTCACTCATCTCAGCTTACGAAGGACCAAAATTCAAGAGGAAAACGGGCAACTCCGTCTGGAAAACGGAACTCTGCTCCAAAAGGTGATCACGCTGGAACAACTCCTGAAGGAGTCCGACAACAAATGTCGAGACGTTCTAACCGAGTCGCAGAATCTAACAAACGCCGTCGAAACGAAGTATATGAGTCTTCAGAAAGAATTTAACGATTCAAAAGCAGATTTTGATTCTCAAATTGCGAGTCTGAAATCGGAGAAGGAAAGGAACGACTTTAAAAACTTCGAGCAAATTTCAAACTTACAGCGCGATTTGGAAATTGAGAAGGATAAAAACGGACGATTAGCTAAAGAAAATGGCCAATTTGGGATCGACATTCACGAAACTAGAAGAAAGATATCCGAGGTTGAAGATAAGTTGAACTCGAAAGAAAAACAAGTAATCATTTTGGAATCCGAAGTCAGAAGACTGAAAGACGAGCGGGACAAATCGTCCGACCAACTCAAAACGGAGAATGTGCGACTTAGAAACGAAGTTTTGGAAGTCAAAAGAGCCAAAGATGACATTGAAATTCAACTAAAAACGGAAATAACCCAAATCAAAAACCAGCATTTGGGTGAAATGAAACGGGTGAATAGCGAAATGTCAGATAAAATAACAAGTGCCCTCAAGGAAAAGACAGATTTGATTGCTGAACTTTCGAAAGAAAAGAAGGCTTTGAAGGGTAAAATATCAGAAATGGAGAAAGGTCACGCTAGTACATATGCGCAGAAAGAAACAAGATTGCACGACACCAAATTAGAACTTGAAAAAAGTTCAAAAACACACATGCAAGAAATGAACAAAAAAGATGCTGAAATTAAAGCTCTTCATGAACAAATTTTGACATTGAAAACTGCCGACAATGAAAACAAGCATAACAGTAAAGTTGAACGAGAGAGGGAATTTTCAAATGTTTCCCGCGAAATTAAAGAACTGACGGATGCCTTGAAAGCCAAAGACAAAGAGCATTCTGAAATCATTTCGAAATTGATTTCAGCCCACAAAAACGAGATCGAAAAAACGAGTGACAACTCAGCTGACAATCTTCGGAGACGAGAAGAAAAAATAGCAGAGTTGGAAACATCCTTATCAAAAGTGAAGGAAAGTCATGAGCGTGAAAATTCAATGCTGGAATCGAAGATTTCACGCGTAACTGAAGACCGAGAATACTGGAAAACTAAATACGACCACGAAACTTCCGATCTGAAATCGGAGATGCAAAATCTAAGAGACGAAAAAGAACATGAAATAACTGACCTTATCAAAGCACTAAAAACTGCGGAAAATGAAATCGGAATCCTGAATGAAGAAAACATGAAGATTATAGAGAGTAACAAAAGCGACCTCCAAAAGACTAATGAGCAGATAAATAAACTAGAAACTGAGTTAAAGACTGCAGAAAAAACTATTCAATCGCTTCAAAAGCAATTCGATCATTCCAAAGATGACAATCAAGATCTTCTTCACAAACTAAAAGATCGCTTTGATGCCGAAAAAAGAGATCTTGTAGACAAGTTGGAGAAAAAGTCTAAGCTAGTGAACAAACTTGAGAGAGAGCTAGAGGTCAAAAATAACGAACTGATGGTTGAAAATCGTCAATTTGAAGAAAAAAGCCGAACGATGGAAACAGAGAGAGAACGAATGAAGCGAGAAGTCGAAGCAGTGGTTCGGAAAATTAACGATGATAAAGAGAGACAAAAAGTTTTAGCATCGGATGAAAAACGAGAATTGCAAAAAGATCACGACTGCCAAATTAAAACTCACAACTCAGAAATTCAGAAGCTTAAAAATGAATTAGACATTTCCGAGAACTTAAAAACCACAATCGTTAGAGATTACAACCACAGACTAGATGCTGCTAAAAATGAAGTCAAAAAAGACTTCAAAAGCAGACAAGATCAATTTTCAGTTGTTAAAGTTGAACTCGAAAAAGAAATGGCCAATCTCAAATATTTGAACAAAGAGCTTTCCAAAGAATGCAAATATCTGAGGTCTGAGAAAACAAAAACTGAAACTACTCTTCAAATACAAATCGAAAGTCTGCAAAGAGCTGCCGAACATGAGAACGAAAAGTCGAGCAGAGAAATTTCAAAGTTAAGAGAATCTTTGAAAGAATTTGGAGAAAGAAACTCCAAAGAGAGGGAAGAATTTGAGACAAAAATTGAAAAGTTAACAGATCAGATGAAAAAATTGTCGCACGAAAAACAGCACACCGTTCAAAGCCTGAACAAACTAAAAAACTTCACTGAATCTTTGGAACGTGAAAAGCAGTTCCTGGAGAAACAACTAACGGCTTCGGAGGAAGAGAAAAACATAATCGAAGAGGAATCTAGGAAAACTATTATGGATCTCGAGAACACGTTCAGTAACAGATTGGATTCAGTTCAAGGTGAGTTAATGATTATGTACTCTTTTTCGATTTCTATGTTGGTAAAATCGTTCCCAAAAAGGCCGTTGTCGTCAATAACTATGTTTTAGTTATGAGGGTGGAGTAAGAAAAAAAGATAAACTTTTCCTCTTTGCTCGTTATGCGCAGAAACATTTGCTTACATAAAAGTTTTCAGCATATTGAGCAAGTTTAAATATTCTATCCTCAAGGTAATCTAGCTTAAAGTTAGCTTGAAAACAATTTTTATTTTTCTTAATAATAATTCAAAATGACTGATCAAAAACTTCGTAAAAAAGACGGCGACAGAAATTAAACTATTTTAATACCACCCCTTAAATTTCCTAGATCCTCGAATGACTATAAAGTTAGTTATCTTTTAAAATTAGAATTATTTGATTTCAAAGAATAGAACTATTTTTTCAACTAAAATCACAAGTTTTGTTTCTGTGGACTACAATTAGTTATATCTTATCAAATTCGTTGAAAGGCACTCAAGAACAAATATGAATACTGGGTTTCGAATTGAATTGGCTTGTCCATATGTAATGTTTCAGTGTTGAACGGCATTTTTAATTATTATTATTATTTTTGAATTATGAAAACGATCATTAAAGCAGAACTCATTTTATCTAAGGTACAGTTGAATACCAAAAAAACTAGGTTAGATGATGAAACAGGCCAAATCTATTTTTAAATTAGGAGCAATTCTTTTCGGCGGAAAGAGAAATAAAACAGATACAGAAAGACAACGAAGTCAGAAATTCAATCATCAATTTAAAACAAACCATATCAAGTAGTGTGTTTGAAGGTCACTCGGACATGATCCGACAGGAGATTAGGCAGAAAGAGGCGGCACTGAGGGAGATGACCCTGGAGAACGACAATCTGAACAGTCAGATGGCAGACATGGAAGACAACCTAAGAGTGTCTGTGCTCATGATGAAGATGATGAAGGGTGCTATGGAAAAACAGTAGACAAGCCATTGAAAAACAGAGACACGACTTTTCTGAAATTTTAACTAGAAAAATTAACCTAATAATATTTTCGAAATCCAACAAAGATTTAGATGAAACTTTCAGGACAATTTTTCAAAATTTGGTTTGAGACAATGCCCCAGAGAGACTACCGCGACAACTCGAAGTAGGAATCAAATTTCTATGATTTAAGTTACAAATTTTATTAACATACAGGGATAATATTGGGTTACCCATCGCTTACAATACAAATAAAAAAACATGCTTATAACCAAAATACTCAAAAGATAAACTTACAGACATTAACGAAATTGAACATGAAAGCAAATGAGTCCAAAAAATCAAAGTAAACTTTTTCGGAAATCACATGAGCTTCTGCACCAAAAATATTATGAAGAGGCAAAAACAAACTGTCAGAAGTTTGTCTATGGAAGCATTATGTGAACTGAGCTCAAGAAACTCTTGAGCGTATCAATTTTTAAAATCCGTTTATTTTTGTAATAAGCCTGCATTGACATCCAAAGGCACCACTAGAAGACAACGGAAAAATTCACGCTGATGTAAATGAACTATTAAGCCAAAACAAAAAATTAAAATGAGGTGTTGACTTTTTTACTTCGAAGAAAAAAACCAATGACAGTTTCTAAGTTGCTAGTCACAAATCGCTCTGCTCTGCCGATAGTTTTCCAGTCCAATTCAAGCGAAAAGCCAAGCTAGCTGATAATCTTGGCGTAAAAAGCTCGCACTCAGAAAAACGAGTTGATAATTAATCATATTAAGAGTTTAGTAGCTGTTATACTGAAATTGCTACAAAAAAACTAATTTAAAAAAAACAATCAATTATTATCTCTTGCTTGCAATAAAAAATAAACTCAATTTAAGTTAAATTTTAATAGAAAATTGTTTAAAAATAAAAAAACATCTTTCACCCAAAACAACTCATCAAGTTAGCATCCTGATTGTCACAATAAACTGATTGTAAACTGTTAACAGCTCGTCCAAATTGTCTCCAAACAATTTTTATAAGCTTTTGCTTGGCCTGATACTTAGTATTCTGGTTAGCAAAAAGTTTCTCTTTCTCTCTTCAACTTGCGATTGCAATACATTTCAGTACCGGATAATTTATCTCCAAATATTTTTATAATTGTTTGTTTGACCTGACTCTTAAAATCATGACTAGCAAAAAGTTTCTCTTTCTCTCATCAACTTGTGATTGAAATACATTTTATTACCGGATACAGAGTATCGTGGTAAACTTCAGTTTTTTGTACAATTTAGCTTCAGTTTTCTTTGAGGTACATTCCTTATACCAGATACCGGATATCTTGTTTTCGTGTTGAATTAAATCATAACCTCGACAGCTGGTATCAGAGGGACCAATTTTAGTTTCGCAACTTCCATCTTAACTGCAACAACTTATTTGACAGTTACGAAATTCGCTGAAAAAAAAACATTACGCCATTTTCTACTCAGTAAAATGTTTCTTGATGCTTGTAGCGTGGGACAACTAGCGAGGTGATCAAAAACTTTACTTTCTAAGTTACAAAATAAAAGAAGTAAAAAACAACGTGTTTCTGGATGTTAAAAGCACCGTAAGCACATTCATAAGAAAAAAAGTTTTCCCATACATCAAGCATTGAATTGTGCCAAAATTTTCCTCATGAAAAGCGACATCGGTTTGCAGCAAATTGCAAGCGAAAAGTTGGAGCTTGATAATAATATCAATTTTGTGAGCATAAAAAAAACATCTTGCAAATTTGTTTCAGGTGTTATAAGGAAACGACTGTTTGTAACATGCGAAGTTGATCTCTTTTTTTGAAATCAAATTTAATCAGTTATATACATTTTACTTGATTATAATCGATTATTAATCCATCTATTTTCAGATACATTTTTTTCAACTAATTTCGGTTAATAAATCTCAACTTTTAGTTCAAATTTTTTTCGCCGAAAATTTATTATTATCGATCATCAAATTTGATAATCCTTTTTGTTTGCCCATTTTATCTTTGACCATGCGTCTGAACTGCTTATACTATATGTGCTTTATAGTAGACTTTATTTGTCTGAAAAATGTGAAAAATGATTTAAAAAATGTTCCTAAAGTTTTCAAATCAACTCAATATCAAATAATTTTTTATTTCTTTGTCAAAAACTTTTTTCAGGAGGCAAATTTAAGATTTTTAACTACGCAATTGAAGGTTTTTCAGATTTTTCTAAGATATTTTAACAACAAAAAAACTAACACATTGCTTCAATTTCATGATTTTTTGGAATATTTGTTTTGCACTGACCGCAATAGTTTTTCAACTAATATGGAAGGATCACCATGAAATTTTTTTTCCGTGGTAAAATTTTGAAACCAGATAAACCAAAAAGCGACAAGACATCTAACTATTAGAAAAATGTTCTTGAGAAAAAAAAGTAGCACAATTTCACTGAATTGTCTCAGGCTGAATTGTCTGGATACTTTTGGTTGATTTGTCTGAATTTCAAATCGGCTGAATTGTCTTTGGCCGAATGGTCTGGACCGAATCAAAATATTTTGTCTATTGGTGTGACACAATTTTGGCAAAATAAGAGATTACAATTGATTACGATTGATTTAAAGATTTTTGTGTGAGCTATAAATCAATTATAATCGATTAAAAATCGTTTAAACACCTAATTTTGGTAATAATAATCAATTATAATTGTCAAAATATCAACATAATAATCCGTTATAATCGACTATTTACGCCTACTTCTGGATGCGGGTTACTCGCTAAAATGCCAATCTTATATCCCTATTATGACTTTGAATGATTTTTTACCCATTAAGTAATTGATACTTTTGAAAGTTCCCCAAAACATTTTTTTCAAAACAAATAAACGATAACTTTATTCAATATTTCAATATTGCACTTCAAATATTCTAATAAAAGTTGTGTATTTGCAGAGCTTGATTTGGTGATTTAGAAACTGAAAGTGTTTAGTGTATTCTAATTTGGGTAAATATTTGATGATTTGTGATCTGTTATCTCCTCAATCATAGTGTGATGGTGATTATTTTCCATGCTAGTCCACGATCCGGCGGCTGTGATTGGCTGAGAAGTGAAGAGAACGGTGGGGTTAGAGTACGTACTCGAATTTGATTGGTTCAGAGCGGTCGACAAAAGAGCTGCATTGTAGACCATCTGTTGGCACAAAACTTTGTTCGAGAACTGTTGTTGCATAATCTGTTGCATGGCAATCGGTGACGTCATATGTTGTGACGTAATCATGTGTTGGGCCGAAGATGGCACGGACTGGAATGCAGCGGCGGCTGGATTGTTTCCGGCGGGTATCCCTGCAATATTCTGAGGCGACAATAGCTGTTGTTGAATCGGTTTGAGTGGCTGGACTAACTGACTTGGCTGATACATCTAAAATTATATGAAGCGCTTTTTATGGTTTCTAGTAAGCAGTGTTCACTTTGAAACTATCTCAGATTTCCACCGTTAATGTTTCATGTGGCCATTTTTTTAAAATCTGTTGCTCATTCAAGAGCAACGTTTTGAAAAGTTAGTGCATAAAATTGAAACCCTTTGGGTTGCCTCGCAAAATAAAAAAAAAGTTAATGACTTTTTCTAAACAACACCTAATTACTAAACACCTCAAACACCAAGCAAGCAGAAAAACATTGCTCGCAATAGTGAAGCAAACCTTAATCAAATTTACATTTCCATTTAAACCGCGTTGCGATCTCATCATTTCCTCGGCCGCTGACTTCATTTTGCTATTTTGCATCTGCAAATCGCGGTTACGATTCGACAACTCCTCGACTCGCTTCGTCAGAATTTGCAAGTTCTCTTTCAGTTTTCGGTTTTCGTCGGCTAAGTTAGCCTCTGTTCCCTGAATAGTAGAGCTATCAAAAGTGACGTCAGTTTCGGACAGAACCGAGGATCGTTCTTCCAAGTCGAGTTTGGCCAGTTTTGGCGAGTTTGTAGTCGTGAGCGAATCGGATTGTCCGCTAGCGGGTGACGCCTCTTTCTCTTCGTGCTCAGTCGGGAATTCACAGTTGGTTCGTTTCAGTTGGTTTGAGTTGTTTGGATGGTCCGTTTGGACTTTGTCGAGGTTGGGCGGATGGGTGAATTTGCAGTGGTCGCCTTTTAAAAATTAAGTCAAAAGTTTATTATGAAATTTAATCAAAACTATGTTTGTATGTAACAGGAAACGTATCAAATAATTTTTAAATTGAAGTTAAAAAAGACGACTGAGTTGAGATTCGTCCTCTTGAAGACCAGTTGGGAACTTGCAGTCGGTCAGACAGTTAAAATTTATTGATGTTTGACTAATCTGGGATTCGAACTCTTCATGTATGGATTAATAGTGTTACCTCTTTCGCAGAAGCCGCGTTGGTAGTCTCTGCAGACTGGGATTTCCTGAACAGAGTTCTGCATATTGGCAAGGACACTGAGCCCGTTGTCTGCGAGGAACTTCAACCGCTCTGGAAGTACGCCTGAAGATAAACAAATGCTTTATTTATAATTGTGTTAAATTGCAGATTACAAAAATACACATGAGGACTTGAACTTATCGCTCTGAATATAATATATTCGATATCTTGCGATGTCTGCAAAATGATATAAGCATATTGTCCGGTAGATCTATGGAAACTTCGTTACAAACCAAAAAAATCTAACCTTTCAGAATAGAAGTTTTTTTTGTTATTTCTGACATTTTTCGATTAAAAATGCATGCGCTCATTCGTTATTTATTGAATTACATTTCTGTGCTTTCTTCATTCTGCTCAGTAAGAATTCGTTTAACTCGAACCTGTTTTCCTGTACATGTCTTCCTCTTCCTTCGAGCAATGTATGTACTTGCATATCTTCCTCTTACACACGCTGTTCAGGTAGTCGTGGCAAAAAGTGTAGCCCCCCTTGTGCATCAGCAAACCCCCTCCCCCTCCCCCTCCACTCCCTACTCCCCCTATTCCAACTACTCCATTGGAGGGTGAGGCCACGGAGGGATCCACCATGGGACTGCACAGACCTGGAAATTAGATCAGTCATTGCATAATAAAGTGATGCGAAGTTACGCAATTAGTTCATTATAATTTGACATAAAATAATTTGATTTATTCTTCCAATCACTTCACGAAGGGAACTATGACGTCTAGTCAGCTTTTCCAACCGATTTTGACTACCTCAAATAAACCTCGTAGAGGGTCAGTTGAAGCACTTTCAGTCATGAGTCGGATTCTTAAAAAATCAACAAGTTAGCTCCGTGTGGAAAAAAACTGGTCTACATTTTTTTTTGTTTTTCAGACTTTTATTTCAAACTGAATTCCCAATCTATTTCTTCCGGATTGTTTAACTTTTTATCTGGTATTAATTGATTCTTATGGCTCATTAAACTTTTCAGTCTCCTCTCATAAAAAAATTCAAACAAAAAAATTAAAAGTTCAGAATTTTTTTTCAATAGCTGTTATTATGATTTTCTTCCCGATAAAAATGCGTGATCGGAGTATTTTGTGCTAGATAAACAGCAACCAGATGTCCTTGTTCTTATATTTATTTTAATAAAGCGTAAAAATATATAAATCACTTTTCATCAATACTGAAAAATTTCTGTACAAAAAGCATGGAGAAAGCTGTGAATATTTTACCCGTTCAAAAAGCCCTTATTTTTATTCAACTCATTTTGCAGATTGCTTTAACTAGTAAGCATAGTTTTGCTTAATTCTGTTATTTTTTACGGTTGCAGTGCAAAAAAATTAACTGATAACAAAGAAGCAATTCTATTTGAATTCGTTTGTGATTTGAACTATGACTCGACTGTGTTATACCTGGTAATACGAATGGAGTCCCCGCTCCAAGTGATCCAGGCACTTGTCCAGGTCCACAATGGTATGTCGTCATTCTGTTCAGCCCCGCAGGCTGCAAGGGCACACCCGGACTCATCAAAGGGTTCATACTAATCATCTGCGAAAGATTAGATGTGATGCAAGAGGTCAAATCTGGGTTCAGCTCAGATGTCAAACTAGAGGTCACGTTGCAGTTAAAACTGTTCGAAAAATTCGTTTGGTATGATTGAGGTAAAATTTCTTGGATTTTTTGATGTTTAAATCGGCAGAATGAGCCTCGAAAACAAGTTCCGCGGATGAAATCGCGACAAATCTCGGTATCTTCAGAAGCTTGACAATCGGCTCGAGCACGGCTTGTTGGATTCGAAGATTGTGTAGTGCAATCAGGATACTTTTCTGAAGTAGATGAAATCTGAAGATCAGAATGTTCTGGCTCTTTGTTGGTTTTGGTTCCGTTCGGATAATCGTTGTGCTCGGTTTTCTGACAACTTTCACTACCGGTACTAACTTCTAATTTAACTACTTCTTCCGAACTTGACAGAGAACTTGTTAAATGTTTAGAGGCCTAAATATCAAACAGCAATCAGAAACTGAACTGTCAAAAGTTTGATTGAAGCAAAAAATAAGAAAAACGTATGTTTTTTTTTTACAATTATAAGAATAATTTAAAGGAAACCGACAAAAATATTCATGGAAAAAAAACGTAAAATTTATTTAACAATCTAGACCGCAAATAATTTCCCCGTTAACATCTTCACTAAAAGTGGCGTTGTTTTTTCTCGTTTTAACTAAAAAAAGCACAAAGCTTTATCTAACAGAGCAGTGATTTATAACTTGAAGGGAAAATAATTGCTTAAAATTTTTAGCAAAAAAGTAAAAACGTTACGGATGCTTTTTGACGTCTAGTAAGGGTGATTAGGAGCTCTTTGTCAGGTAATTGGACAATTAGTTAATTAATTGCGTAAAACAGCTGGAAATACCATGACACTTCCTTCCAGAACTCAAAATACCCAAAAATGTTATTATATTCTCAAAAACCACCCTGCTGACAGAAATTGATGGCCATTTCCGCACATTTTGGTAAATAAAAGTCAAAAATATAACAAATTGATCAAAAATTCACAAAAATATCGTCTGATAATGCGCAAAAGTACCTTGGTGACAATTTTATCTGCGGCAATATGTCAAATGGAAACTTATCAGAGGGTTTATGGCGTGTCAAATAGCTGGTTATTGTCTATTTATGGGTTTGTCGAAAATAAATTCTATAAATTAAAATGGTCATAAATATGAAAGAGAACTCCCAAGCTCAAAAAAGTAGACCCCTCCCCTTGTGAGTCCGGCTCTTTCGTCATACAAGGGTATATAAAATGCTTCGCAACGTAAGTTTGAAAAAGCTCAAGAAAAACGTGAGCAAATTTTCTTAAAAATCTTTTTTTAAAACTTTTTTCAAAATTTTTTCGAACGTTTATGATGACAAGAATATCATAACAAAAGCAAAAAGTGACTGAATTGCGAACATGGTTTGAATTACATTCAAGCGAAGATCATAAAAAAGTAATCAAGTTAAAAGTAAATCAGAACAAAAATGATTTGTTTGAAGTAAGCAAGAAGATTAAACTGATAGCGCAATGGCGGATGCGATGCGGATTGAGATGAAGTTGCTTTTTGTAATTTAGGATAGTCCCCTATGTCATGTATCGCAATAGGGGGGCTATTCTCAAAACAGAAGAGCCCCATAACAGAAAACTTCAAACCCCTCAAAAACCTACAAAATTCGAATTTTTGGAAAAACCGTTCGGGGCGTTTCCCTCATGACAAATCCAATGACAAATTCATGAATCTGATACAACCTACAGTTTTTGATTGCTTGGATAGAAAACTTCATGTACTTTGGGCCTTGGTATAAAAGTTTTCTGTCATCTGGTTTTTCTGTCGTAGGGTATTCCCCTATCTCACTGACTGGGATATATGTGAAATCAATAGGGGGATAAATGTTTATAGAAGAACAAAGAGTCGGAGAGACCTGATCCCCCGGGACCAGAACTAATCTTGACTTTGAAGACCAGCTCATCACGAGGCTCTCTAGATGTTGCGGCTGAGCTATCGCTTAAATTAGAAGTCAGCGTGACCCACTTTCTACATAAATAACTTAAATAGTGTTGACTCTTATTTTATGCAACAAAAAGAAATATGACTAGGTATTAACTCACAGATTTTTGCTTGGTTTTGATGCTCAGCAACTATCAATAAAAACAGAACAAGGATAGCCGCTTGTTGTGCAAGAAGCACAAAATGTTCCGACCATATTCTTGGAATCAAATACAACTTTTCAATTGAATGTCGTTTTTTTGTGAGTGCTTTGATAAAAAAGATTAGAAGAAAGCTTAAGACTTGAACATATTTCACATTCATTGTAAAATTGGCAAGATGGGCAACAGTTTTAGCCAAAAAATGACTAGAAAAGAAAACAGTTAAACCAAAAAAATTTAAAAATTTCTAGAATTTTTTTCAAAAAGTTTTGCAGATTTTTTTTCGATTTTTTGCTTCCCAAAATAACGCTAGAAACTTCCAAAACTCTACTAACTAGAGCAAATTTGATTTTTAAGGCATGAATAGGCTTATCATTTTTCAATATAAAAGTCAATTATACGCCAGCTCGCTCGCTATATTCGTTCGAAATTAGACAAAAATCAAAAATTTCAAATCGGTTTTTCTCGAGACAAAAAAATTAAAATCAAAAATTTTTAAAATGTCGTTCGAATCACGACTAAAATTTTTAAAATATAATGAATCACTCAGCTAAGTCCGATGATTATTTGTGGAAATTTAGAAAAAATTAAATCTAAAACACACCCAAATCCAAAGTTGCTCCTCACTTTCAAAAGTCCGAACAATAAGGTTTAGTCGGACCCCCCGTGAGTATTGTGGGTCCCTTTATTCAGAAGCCCTTTTCGGCAGTCTTTGCTAGTGCAATTTTTCGAAATTAATTTTTGGCTTTAGTCCCCCGTCTTTCAGACTTGAACAAGCTCCCTGGTCCTTTTACCAAATGGGTTATCGGGTCATCTGAAGTGATTCAATGCAACTTTTTCAGGTAGAAAAAGACATTGCATAAATTGCTTAAAATGTCCAATCTTTTTGGGAAAATTGATTATCGGGGCGTTTTTCAGATGTAGTATTTCTCTTTTTTTGACCTACTCGACAGATCTGTCGTTTTAATGAATATCATCTCCTTGCTTAAATTATAGCCCAGCTCCACTTACTTTTATTTTCAGCACAGCTTTTCTGCAAACTATAGCACCCCCATTCAGAAATCACAACTTCTTGGGGCTTTAATTTTTTGTTTCTAGCCTGGAAAATTTATGATGATAAAAAAAACAACAAAATCAGGCTCAATGTCGAGAGCTTAAAATTTTTTTCCGGACGAGTTTATAATTAACGTATTAAGCAACGTATAACTTAGATTAATTAGCTTGCCTGTGTTCAACTGGGAACAGTTTTTCAGCCGGATTAAATGCTGCAACGCAAAAAAATATATAAAATGTATTGCGCGTCAAGTGTCTCAAACTGACCGAATTGGTCATTTTTGAAACTCCAAAAAATTTTCAAACTTTTGTACAGGGCTTTTTTTTCTAAGTGCGAGCTCAATATGTCATTGCTTTTAAAATGAAGTGAAAATTTTTTTTAGAGGTGGCTACTTGAATTGTCGAAATTAACTTGAAACACTTCTTAAAACTCTTAAAAAGTCAAAAGAACAAAAATGCTCGCATCCGAGTGAGGCCCGCAAAGTTCCGACTTCTGTTTCAAAAAATGGTTATAGAAAATTGAACTTTTCTTCCGCTCGAAATTTTTCATGATATCCCACACACGGTTTGTAAACCACAAAGTGATATAGTTCTCTATTTTGCATCTGGTGGAGCATTTAAAAAAATTACTTGCTGCAAGTCAATTTTAAATTAATTAAAATGCCATTTGACGCCTTAAAAAAACGAAATACAACGTTCGTTAGTGGTCTCAAATTGGCTAATTTAGCTATTTTCATATCCTCATGACACAAGAGAAAACCTCACTTGCTCAACTGTTTTTTGAGCTCGAGAAAAGAATAACTTTCAAGTTTAAAAATTTTTCAAAAAAGGATAGTTCGAATGTCGAAATTCAGCTGACGTAAAAAATAACATCGAACAAAAATATTCCATCTTTTTTTTTTAAAAAGCATTGTTAGCGCTTAAATATTAATTGCACCGGAAAGTAATAGAACCTGAATTGTTACAATTAAAGAAGTAAAGGCAGAATTTTGATAGAATCAACAATTGAAAGTATAAAATGCTTCTTTTTTTTCAATTTTCAGTTATATTGAACGTTATAACAAAAAATTTTGGGTAAATTGAAATGCATCTGGTAATCTTACTGTTCAATGGCTGAACTGCTGGCAGGATCATCGAGTCTGGTGGTGTGTCTCGCACAAAAACTGATACCAAAATTACATCAGATAATGAGTACCACAATACAGATGTGATCTCAAACAACTAAGAAAAATCTTTTTGTCAAAAAAGAATGTGATTTTTTTTTTGCAAAAAAACTTAAATGCAACGTCTGAAAAATACAACTGAAAAAAATTAAGTGAGGTTTTGAAAAATCGTTCTTGATCTTGATTGTTTCAACATTACAGTGTTACTAAATTAATCTCGGAGGCCAAGCACAGCTTCGCATCACTTGTGATACAACACAAAAATAAAAAATACAGAAGTGGGGGAAAAGAAAAACGTTACAAAAACCAGTTTTACTAAAATATTTGAATGTCTAGATAACATTCATCGTATGCAAACATGCCAAGCAAAACACTTTAATATTAAATAAGCTACGGAAAAAAACTTACGAAAGCGGATAGAAATTTTGAGCAGAAACCAGAAGAGCCATTTTTTTCATCTCAAGTCCCCCTGACACTACTATGAACCAAAATTGCAACCATAATGAAATGTTTATAGCGAAAAAAAGTACGTGATGTGGCAAATGAGCCATTAAAATTTAAGCGATAAATCGACAACTCAATTAGTACAGGAAAATAATTTCAGTTTCAAACATGCTGAAAATGAAAATAGTTCCGACCAGTACTCAAACCCCATTCCCACATTGCAAGGAGGTAAAAGTGGCACTTTGAATGATCATTTACTCCTTTTGATTTAGCAAAAATTAAAACAATAAAATATTTTATAGGCACCATCGAGTGATTTTTTTTTTGAAATATCGTATTTTCTCAAATAAGAGCCACGTATTTTATTAAACCATCTGATTATGGTCTTTTATATGAGTCTGTCAAAACTAAAAACAATAGATTTCAAAAGTTCTTTTGGAGACGACTAATGATAACTTTTTGAAATATTTCAATTTATTTGTCATTCACTTAAAGCGTTTTTTGATAGAGGGCATCATTTAATCGAGGGCTGTTCTCTTTAGAAAAAAGACGGTATATAGATTTTTTAGAATCAAAAAACTTTTCTAGAAAATTTTCCTATGGTGCAACACTCGCTTTGAGGCATCTGAATTTGTTCAAAAAGATATTAAAAGTCATTGTGGTTGCAATAAAAATGTTTAAGAAAATGAAGAATTTTGAAAAAAAATTGCGTTCTCCTAATATGGGTGTTTCGTACTTTAGCACTAAAAAACAGGTTGGTTGAAAAGTCAGAAAGCATACCTGCATTTCAAACATTAATTGCTACGAGCGATGAAACAAAGTTTTTAAAAATTCATTGGGTTTTAAATGACGCAAGTCAAACTACTACTTGATCCGAAAACAATAAATGGTGAACAGGCGATACAAAGGTCTCGCATTGGTAAAACTGTTTCGATTTTATTACTTAATTTGAGAAACAGTTATAGAGACTAAAGGTAAGGCAGTGTACACTGAATTTGATGTGAATTTTGTTTAGTTTTATTGTCTTACCTGCAATAATGTGGCTTTGTAATAATGTCTAGCGTGGTAATGGTTAATGACTCGTTTAAGACCAAAAGCGGGCTTGTGATGTTAAAAGACACAATTAAAATTGCAATCAATTTTACGGCCCAGAGGAACCGAATGAACTGAAGTTCAAACAAAATGGTCAAAATTATAGTATGGTTGTTTTGTTTTGGAACTGGACCTTCACGTTAATTCAGTACAGTGTTTTTTTTTCAGAAGAGTAGAGATGAAAAAATCAATTGGGAGCAGATTTTAGGGAAACGAATCTTTAAAGGAGATCTCTGTCATCTTTTATTACACGGCTGTCTCGCTGGAATAATGAGCAGCAAAGTCTTCAACCGGTCGCCCTTTTTTGTACTAAAACGTTGAGAAAGGAAAAAATGGCCGATACGGCAATTAATTTGCATGACAAAACAAAAACAATCGACTTTGATTTATATGATTCTCCTTTCAAAACTAGCCATGCGTTTTGTCAGATAAAAACTGATTAATTTTACGCCATAAAAACGCTAGCTGAGTAGTTAAACATGGAATTCCGTTCTTCGCCTTTCATATATCTCGATAATATAAATTTTCAATGCCGGTGAATAGAATTGAACACCTGAACTGAACTGATGGCAATGTGGTAGGAATGGGACTGAAAATCGAAAACAATCCCGCTTTGTTATTTTCCCCCAATTTTCAGCAATATGTTTTTGCGCTAATATATTTAATGCCATATATCCGTAATTCTGAGTTGAGTTGTTTTGTATCTGAGCATCGCCGCCGCGGTGTATCGCCACTGCCGTTCATCAGCATAGCCGCGCTACGCCTTGTGCTGTGCCGTCAGTTATTTTCATCGTGGCGTGTGGTGTGCTAGGCTGTTCTGTGTGCTCGAGTTAGACTTTGAGTACGTCTTGAAAAGAGGCTTTGTGCCATCAGAAATATTGAGAGCCAGTCACAAATATCGATTGATTTGTCCCCCTTTTTTGTTTGCTCTGAGCTGAAATAGCTTACTCTCTGCTTGCTTAAGCGGGAGGGATCTAAGATACACAATGCACTAGCAGCAGCACCCAAGACACGCTACGGGAGGAACAGGATAATAAAACCACGGCAGGCAGCACGGCGTGAACGTACTTTTCATTCATATCTACCTTAACTTTCATTTCACTTAATTTGATCGTTGCTTTTGAAATTTAAACCGTTTCCGCTTCCAATTAATTGTATCACATCAGCTGGGAATCAACGCGAAAAAAGTTGAAAATTCTGTTAATGTTTTCTGCTAATTGATAGCCGAAAGTTTTGCTGTTTTCTGATTTTAATGCAAGATGCGAAATATGCTCAAAACATCATTTTAAAATATAGGTTGAAAAATTCAAGGTAAGTCTCCACGTTTCGAATTGTCTTGTAGTAAGTCAACACTTTTATCAAATTGCTTTATGAAGGGCCAATTCAATTTGAAAAAAGTTGGGCCGGAAAAATGCTTGAAAACAAGTTTCATTCGAGTTTAATCCCTTTCTATAAAATTCTTTATTTTTGAGCAAAATTTAAAAACTCAATTTGCTGTCGCAAAAATAGATTCCACAGGCCTATAAAGAGTTAGCTTTATAAATTGAAAGGGTTAATATCAAAAAGATGGTCAATTGACCTGATTTTTCGGTCGAAGAAAAATTTCATCTTGCTGTCACCAAAAACCACATCTGCAAGACTAATAAAAGTTTCAAACAGTCACGCATAAAAAATATACAAAATACGCTGTTTTTTGTTTTCTCTTCAATTTCAAAGACAATCATATTTTTCTTTGTCAGACAGCAACTCAACCAGCACTGACAATTTAAAACGCACAATTTTAATCCGCATACATCAGAGTAGGTTAGCTGGTCAACGCCCTTTGGTTTCAATTGGTCGTTAAAATTGGTTTCAACGACCGCCACAATCAAATGACCACAATTTCTGGAAAAAGACGCCTTCCAACTACTGCAGTGCAAATGACCGCTTAAGAGCTCTTTTTGGAGCTAAAAAACGAATGTTTTTGAAGGTTTCATTAATTACAAGTTGTTATTAATGAAAAGTTTTAGATTTGGATCAGCAAAAATATTTTTGCGTTTACTTCAAGAAACAAATTTAAAAAGTACTTTATTCCAATGATCCCCAGCATTTCTATAAAAACAGGGAAGCAATTCAAATATTTATCTGTCTGTAAACTCTAGAAGTTTTAATTTTCAATAGCCTCCAAGTATCAAGAGTAACAAACTATACTAAATTTGACAAAATTTGACATATATATGAACAGAAAATCTCACCTTGTACCTCGGGATGAAACTTAAGCTTGAAATCCAACCTGATAATTCTCTTTTAAGGAGTGAAAAAAAAAACGAAATTTCTAAAATTTTGTTTCTTTTAGCGAAGAACTGAGAGGGTGAGAGTTGGGTTAGGATAGGGCTCAGGTGACTCCGATAATAAACTAATTTCCCATTTAACTTTACAACGCACTCCCAAATGTGACTATTTTCTGTTTTCAATTCGCATTCGCATTAATTCGACTGAGAAAAAGTTATAATATTACCTCTCGTTTGCCAATAAACAATGAAATTGTGAAAAAATATTCAGTTTTTTTCCCGGATTTTGCAAATATTTGGAGCAGGAGGAATAATTGGAGCAGAACTAATGAAGAATCTAATGGTGCAAAGAATTCAAAAAAAGAGTTTTTCCAAAATTCTAAGTTCTGCTATCTTGAGCAGCCATAACGGAAACTGAACCAAATTATAAGATCAACAAAACAGTCAGAAATAGAAAAAATATATACTATAGTCTTAGTGTATATGGAATAAAACAAGGTAAACAAAACAGCGTTAGCGAAAAAGGTTTTCTTTTTGCCTTTTTGGGGGCCGAATCAGGGTTTTAACAGTGTTGTTGAAACACAGTGCAAAAAAATTACTTTATAAGTAACTTGCTTGCAAGGTAAATGAAATTAATTCAGGTAACAAATAAATTAGAGAGTGAGAGCAAAAAATAATTTAATTCAACCAACATGATTTCGCTTTGAGGAACGTAAAACAAAGGACAAAATTGAGTCGATACGTTTGAAAAAACTAGCTCCGAGTTGCTTAATTAAAAGTGTAGAGGTATTTCAGAGCCACTCCCCTTGAGACAAAATGTATATATGTAAACTAAAAATACTAGATGATGATTTTTTGTCAGATTCACTTGATAAATTGGTGAAATTTAAAACGTGGAGCTAGTAAGCTAGTTGCTATCTATTGTGTGTTTAAAAAATACTATCTAGCACTTTTCTGACTTCGAATTAAAGCCCCCAGGTTGAAATAACGGATAAATTAGCCCGGAGACTTAAAAATACAGGGGTTCATTTTTCATACCGGGTCTACCAGGATAACTTAAGTAAGTGTAGCTTTCATTACATTGAGTCGAAAAAGTAAGTGAAAAATTGAATTAGCAAATTGAGGTCAGTTCTGCTGCGAGGCATTGAATCAACCACGAGGTTTCTATTAAGCAACTTCGAACCAATCATTTATATCTTATACATAACACCAGAACATATAACTCCCCTTTACCCTTTTTCCTCCTCCTCCTCAAGAATAGGACCCCCCCCCCCACCCCCCTCACCACCCAAAGGGTCCCCTTTTGGCACTGTTGAACGACATCCATTTTTGGCTGATCGAGCCTAAAATTTTCACTAAGGCGCTTTTGACGGCAATATATACCTAATTTTGAGAGGTGGGAGGATTAAAAAAATGTTTTTTTTTTTGGTCAAACCCTTCAGAAACAGTGCCCAAAAATAGCGTTTTTGGCCTGTTCAATAAGTTGAAACTCTGTTTTTCGAATAAACTAATCAAGTAAAATAAAAAAAAAAATTCTTATGAAAAACTCTTATCAAAAAAGAACTCCGTTATGAAAAAATCTCAATACGATATGAAAAAACCTAAAAATCTTAAAATATAAAGTAAGTTTTCGAATAAATATCGCACACCGTAAAGCAGTCATTAACGAACTAGAGAAGCTTGTGAAAACTACAAACAGACGTTTGAACTCAGTACATTACTTCGTTTTTATCCTCGTTTTATCTCATAAAAGTTTCAACGTACTTACACCCTCAAAGTTTTCAACTGAACTTCCTTAGTATCTTTTATGAGTTTACGTTGAGAGAGCTAAAAACGATTTCTTCAGAATCAGAATTTGTCAATGTTTTTGTTCTGAACATTCTAAAAAGTGCGCAAATATGCAATCTCTACAAAAAAAGATATGACTGACCTTAAAAAAAATCACCTCAGTAGAAGAATCGCGTGCAAGGGACTGAATTGAACCCTCAATACTATAAACCAATCAGCTCAAAAAAGGAGCCTGATCTTTTCAACCTTCTCTGTTAACTTAAAACACAAGGATAATCTCAGACACTTTAACTAATTTCGGGATTCAAGAAGCCAGTCAAACCATCCGTTAACTCTTTATCTTTTCGAAGCAAATCGATAATGTATGGAGAAACAGTTTTGAGAAACGCAATTATGCATGGCAAATTAACAAAAAAGATATCAAGTTTTACTTAAAACCCTCATTGTGATTTTTTGGTTTTTTTTGTATAGAAAATTGGGTCTGGACTGCGTGAAATATTAAGCTTTTCATATCTTACATGGTCCTACTCTTTTATTATGAAAAAGTGCTAATCATGCAATTTTAATGAAAGAGAAATCAATGATTTGCATTTTTTCATAGATAAATTGTATGAAATTGTGTGAGAAGCTTTTTTAGTGCATGGAGGTCAACCTGGTTGTTGAGCGTATGTATTGAGTATGAACTTTTTTGTACTACTTTGTAGTTCAATACGTTCTTGAAACTTTATGAGACAAACTTGAAAAAGAAATAATTCGACGATTTCACTCAAACTAATTGGCTTCTTGAATGAAAGTTTTGAAAACATGATTCAATAAATTCGTCATTTGAAAGTTCGTCCACTG